TCTCTTTTTCTTTCTCTTTTTCTTTCTCTTTCTCTTTTTCTCTTTTTCTTTCTCTTTCTCTTTTTCTCTCTCTCCCCGCGCTTGCCTTCTCTATGATAAGATATCTCAACTTTTACAGATTATATGTAACCCAAGAAGGCTAACTTAACTGGAAGAGCAAATTATCTGACCTTTCATTCGATTAGAAAATCGTGGTACCCGTGTGTGTCATGACCACGGTGCTGTTAGGTGAGTCATAACCTGGATTCCTGGATGCGGGGGGGGGGGGGTAATCCATTCCTGCGGCCATAGGAGGGAAGCTGAGTGGGTGCGGGGAAGGGGCTGCTTTGAACAGACAGATATGAATGTGTGTATATATATATATATATATATATATATATAGATAGATAGATAGATAGATAGATATTAATCTGTATACAAATATAAATGTATATAGATGTACAGATATATATTTATATTGTTATAGATAGATGTAGATATAAATGTAGTTATGAATGTATAGATATATCATATATTGTATCCACTCAAATCTACATATCAACACATACACTCAAATCTACATATCAACACATACACTCAAATCTACATATCAACACATACACTCAAATCTACATATCAACACATACACTCAAATCTACATATCAACACATACACTCAAATCTACATATCAACACATACACTCAAATCTACATATCAACACACGCATACACGCACACGCATCTACATATCAACACACGCATACACGCACACGCATCTACATATAAACACACGCATACACGCACACGCATCTAAATATCAACACACGCATACACGCACACGCATCTACATATCAACACACGCATACACGCACACGCATCTACATATCAACACACGCATACACGCACACGCATCTACATATCAACACACGCATCTACATATCAACACACGCATACCGCACACGCATCTACATATCAACACACGCATCTACATATCAACACACGCATACACGCACACGCATCTACATATCAACACACGCATCTACATATCAACACACGCATACACGCACACGCATCTACATATCAACACACGCATACACGCACACGCGTCTGCATATCAACACACGCATACACGCACACGCGTCTGCATATCAACACACGCATACA